CAAGTCAATGGATAGAAAACACTGTTGTGATTGATTGATAAAAATGATGTTTTATTAAGGTTTTTTTTATTTCATTTTTCAATCACTTCCTCACGTTACATGGACAACTGTATCCCTAAGCTAATATATGTATTATGCGTATTTGTTAGAAATAAACAATAGTGAATAACATTTTTCCCTAAAAAATATTCCCATGGGCACAGCTGTCCTTTCTATTGGTCCCGTCCACACCTAAAAGTTCTCCCATTTTCCGTGTGACCAATAAGTACATGTAATTTGCCACTTCCGGTTCATATCGGTTGTTATTCATATTTCCTCTAATTCGGGACTTATGAGAGTCGTACACCAGTGTCACTGACCTTTTAAAAAATCAACGATAAAATGTTTTGTTCCATAAAAGGCTATCAATGAAATAGGATTTATTTATAACATTGCTGTGCCCTTTGTATGTATATGACACTCTGTGCTATATTTATTTTGATAATTTAAACTGCCATTTTGGTCTTGATCGCAGTGATAAAATTTGTGGTGATTCTAGCATTTTTCACGATTTAAGCATGTCACTGTAATATGTCTAATTATTAAGCTGACTTTATGGAATCAGGCGACAGCTTCTGAACCTGTTACCGATTTCTATAATTCGTTATATATATATATATATATATGTGTGTACGTAGATAAGTATTAATATAATGTCCGTGTTCGTGAATGTAAGAAATTTAGTCCGTTCTGGGAAGTAACATCAAACTCAGTGACGTCAGCAACGGATATCTATCGCATGTAATTCATCACTGTGTATATTTATCCATGTATAAACACCAGTTAATCTCTTCCACGTATGTCCGCGCCATGATCAATAATCCTTTCATCGACCTGTTGTTGTCATGACATCTTTGCAATGACAAACCATTATTAGTTTGTAATCAGCCAATCCCTGATTAATTAGTACAATTATTAAAAGCACGGACTTGGATGTATATAAGTTCATGATGCAATTAGGCTAAACAAGACATGCCATTGGAAGATAACCAGACCATCGGGATACACAGGGTAACTAAAAGTGTAAAGGCATCTATAAAGCAACTTCTCATTTGGTTTGAGGGTGCGTGCGTGTATATAAATAATCAATGAAGTAATAACGACAGTACGGACAGGTTAATTGTTATTTTTTTTAGAAGCAATCTGGCCCTTTATCAAGACACAAATATTACATAAATTATATCTCATACATGGAACATAAAATATATAAAAAGTTAAATCGAGAGCGGTAGTGTAATTTTAGGTGTCTCGATAATCCCTTCGGCCGACGGACGCCGAAATCCCTCTATCAGAAACAAAAAAACAACAACCCTAAGTTGTTGTAGTGAAGATGATGATTAAAATATCAAAAATGTTTTTATATCAAATCTCGGTATGTTTTGCACTGTAAACACTGAGCGTAATGTGATCGTAACGAAAGCAATTGAATGTCACATTCCGAGGAAAGTAGCCTATACATAGGCATATGTATAAATATATATATCTACTTATTTTATCAACAATAAAAAAAATGACAGACCTTAAAATGCATTAAATGTCTCTGGAGAAATCTTCTTAATCCATTCTACATTTTAAGGGTTACAAACCACAGTCTAGATACACATAATTCCTTTTCATGATTACAATATACATTTTAATAAGACTAACAATACTTGGTAAAATCGACACCTTTTCCTATCAAGGCGTACGAGAAAGTTTAAACTGCTTCGTCTTCATAAAAAAAACTGATAGACATGATGCGATACATCTTGTGAACTGACTTTGCGAAAAGATATTGAAAAATAAATATATATCAAAATATTAAAACCTCTAAAATTTTGCTCAGTTCTGATATCGGTATAACAGTCGTATACAGTAAACTAATGATCTCCATCTTCTGTACAATTCAAATCAGTTGATGAACAATCTATATTGTAAACAGACTCAGACTTCTGAGGATGTCAACAACACTAGAAGTATTTCTTTGTTAGCGACAAATCTACAATTCGGGCAGTACAACAGCACATTATGTCCAATTGCTGAAGAGATGATTTAGTACTCAAAAAATGATATGTATGTAACAATGGCCTTATATGTGAATTTTCTGCAAGGTTACGTCTTGTATAGAATGCTAAGGATAGAATTGGCTTTCGCACAGATCTTGCAAATATGTGTCCCATTTCTTACATGACTGTATGTTAAGGCCGGGGTAACGTTGCTTCAATCCAGTAAGTAACCTGGCTGCAGATACCATAGTGCCTTAACTAAAGTAGAAGACAGTGACGAAATTTATCGAAGGCATTGGAGAAGTCCTTAATGAGATTGTCAGGTAACAAGGTCCATGTTAGTGGTTACATCATCCACAAATTTAATTAGTTGACTTTTCATATAATCTTGATTTGCGGAAGCCATGTTGAAAAGGATATAATATATGATGTGACGTATTACACACTTGTCTTAAATTCCTTACTACACAAAAATCGTGCGATAACCTTTACAGTCAATATTAGTATCGTGATTGTATTAACGAGTGAATCACGCGTTTCATTGTTGCGATATTACCGGCGAGCTATAATTATCGCTGTACTGATATCATAATGCAGATAATGTCCAACAGGTATAACAACAAAAGGCGTTTCAGTATTCTCGGACTCCTAAAAATGGCTTCGATCTCTGGAGGCTGTACAATAAATCCAGAAACCGCGGTTTGATCGAGCTACTCTTTGATATTACAACCATAGACAGACAGACAGATAGACAGCCGGACATTCTTTATTTCCTCCTTGCAGAGATTTCATATGTTGTCAAAACATTTTACAAAATAAGTCGTATTTTATATGTAAATACATTTGAAAGTATATTACTTTTTACATGTACAATTCATAATTTTAAACTACTTACAACATAATCTTTACATTATCGATTTAAATACTAATGCACACTTAGATATACATTATATGTTAACGACTATAATATTAGGCTTTACATTTCACAGACCATACATTTGATATTTCTAGCCATCATCAGAGTTTCCCATTCTATATCAGTCAAACATACTTGTGAGCGATCACCAAGCAAAAAACTACATTGATCTTCAATGCTTAGTTCTGAAAATTTTATATATGACGAAACCTCAATCGCATTTACAACACCATCCATCATTTTATCCCGACTTAGGTATAAACCAGGATATTCAAGAATAAAATGTAGCATTATATCACTGCTTATTTTATTACAAATCTCACATTTCACTGTTTCGTTTTCGCTGGATAACGAGTACTTCAATAATTCTACTAAATCCCATACTAATTATTGCCAAATTCCTTTGGTGCTTAAATGGAATATCGGGTCCATACCCTGCTCACTGTGGATAGTGGCATATCTCTGGAGTTCTTCACGTGTTTTAAGTCTATCTTTCCATCTTATGAAATAAAAGTCATATACAAAGTTATTAATGAAACGTTTCCAACACTGTCGGTGGTACGAATGTATTAAAGATATAATCATTAATGAAAGACTCTATGTGAAATTTAACCATTATGTTATATATATCAGGCAGAAATCCTGCTTGAGCGGATGATTAACCACTATACATAAATTGGCACAATCTAATTATAAAAAGCGTTTTCCATAAAAACTTAGCACTTCCTAAACACAATTTGTTCCAAAACAATAGTTTTCGTCTCTCCACCTCACTCCATATATCAAATGATCCTAGACATTGAACAGTCACTGCCGAGGAGGAGGTTTTGGGGAGACCAAGACAACGTCTACATGCATATCTCTGTGTGCGTTCCAGCTCTTCCACAGCTCGTTTAGTATATGAATTCCAAAGTTCACATCCATACAACATACTTGAGTATACAACACTTTTGATAATATTAAAACTTGCTATGGGATTAAGTCCGTTGGGGTGAATACCGATATTTAAAAGTGAATTCAAGTTAGTTCTTCCTTTTACACAGGCGTCCATTATACTACTTCCTGAGTGCAAGTTACTAGTAAACGTTATCCCAGCGCAAGTTTTCTGTGACGTAATTGGGATTATATCAGAACCAATTTTACATTGTATATGTCTAAAATCATCTAAAGGTACTCGTCGACGTTGGGATTGAAATACTACCAGAGAGCTCTTTGTAGAATTATAGTTAATACGCCATCTAGTAGAATATGAATAAACTACATCTAATTCTTTTTGGAGCAGACCTATAGAGGTTGACAATACTAATGTATCATCAGCTAGTAAAACACAAGGCACATGTATGTCTTTTATCCTAGGCCCAAGACCTCGACTCTCTAACTCACTTACAAGGTCACCAATCATTACAAGAAAGCACCAAGCAGAGAGGTCTCGACCTTGAAAATGGCTCCGATCTCTGGAGGCTATATAGTAAATCCAGAAACTGCTGTTTGATCGAGCTACTCTTTGATATTACAACCATATCAAGCGCTTATTTCATGGATGTCTCATAGAAGAGATGAACATTCTAAAATTGTTTTTTCACTGTTCTGGTCCCTCCCCGTTGTCCCCACTGTGGAAGGAAACATGAATTGTGCAATTGTTATGCCCCTTTTGAAACTGGTGCTAGCGACCACATTTGTTTTGTACAAGTCCAGCGGTTCTTAAGAAAAGCTCACAATGTGAAAAGTTAACAGACAAGACCGAAGTTCAGAATAATTTTGAACTACATCTACAACAGCTTTACACATAAAGATCATAGACTTCGAATGGCCATATCGGTTCTGCATCATATTTAAGATGGTATGGAAATCTGAAGAGTTGTACCAGTATTTAACATATGTCAGTTGGGCTGTCATACACACTTTATAATGGTTGATATGATCTAGAAACAATCATAGTTGTAATTTTTTCACTGATGCTTTCTTTTCCTTGAAGGCAGCTTAGGTTTATCTAAAAATGATGTGTAAAGGTCTTCACTACAACCATGACATGATAAACAATTAAACACATATGTTATTGCATAACAACACACAATTAGTAGTGCTGTATTTATTAAGTGGTCATGTTGAGAAGTGTCTATTGCACGTGTCATAAAAGCCGAACGCCCTGTTTTATTTCAGATAACTGTTCCAAGGACCAGGCTGCACTTGAAACGGTAACAGAATCATGGTGGCAAGTCTCTTCTAACCTGAAAATAGAATATTTGAGATTTTTTTGTCACAAATACATCACAGACACTGATCAAAATATGAAACACATAGCATGTGAAAGATGACATAACACACAAAATGCTGCAGGTTCAAAATGTGATATGCCAAAGAAAAAGCAAACGTACATTCCCCCTGGCAAAACTAGAAGGGATCTGACACAAACCTCTGGTCTCCATATGTAGTACTGGTGGGGGACTGACACAAACCTCTGGTCTCCACATGTAGTACTGGTGGGGGACTGACACAAACCTCTGGTCTCCACATGTAGTACTGGTGGGGGACTGACACAAACCTCTGGTCTCCACATGTAGTACTGGTGGGGGGCTGACACAAACCTATGGTCTCCACATGTAGCACTGGTGGGGGACTGACACTGATAACTATAGTCCTCTCTGGTAGTACTAGAGGGGGGCTGACACAAACCTAAAGCCCTCTCTGGTAGTACTGGTGGGGGACCGACACAAACCTAAAGCCCTCTCTGGTAGTACTAGAGGGGGACCGACACAAACCTAAAGCCCTCTCTGGTAGTACTGGTGGGGGACCGACACAAACCTAAAGCCCTCTCTGGTAGTACTGGTGGGGGACAGACACAAACCTAAAGCCTCTCTGGTAGTACTGCTGGGGGACCGACACAAACCTATAGTCACTTCTGGTAGTACTGATGGGGGACCGACACGAACCTAAAGCCCTCTCTGGTAGTACTGGTGGGGGACAGACACAAACCTAAAGCCCTCTCTGGTAGTACTGATGGGGGCCTGAAACAAACTTTTAACCCTTTCTGGTAGTACTGATGGGGGACTGACACAGACTTTTAACCCTTTCTGGTAGTGGGGGACTGACACAGACTTTTAACCCTTTCTGGTAGTACTGGTGGGGGACCGACAAAAACCTAAAGCCGTTTCTGGTAGTACTGGTGGGGGACTGACACAAACCTAAAGCCCTTTCTGGTAGTACTGGTGGGGGACCGACACAGACTTTCAACCATTTCTGATAGTACTGGTGGGGGACCAACACAAACCTAAGCCCTTTCAGGTAGTACTGGTGGGGGACTGACACAGACTTTTAACCCTTTCTGGTAGTAATGGTGGAGGACTGACACAGACTTTTAACCCTTTCTGGTAGTCCTGGTGGGGGACTTAAACACACTTTTAACCCACTCTGGTAGTTCTGGTGGGGAACTGACTTAAACCTTAAGCCCTTCCTGGTAGTACTGGTGGGGGACTGAAACAGACATTTAACCCTTTCCGGTAGTACTGGTGGGGGACTTAAACACACTTTTAACCCTTTCTGGTAGTACTAGAAGGGGACTGACAAATACTTTTAACCCTCTCTGGTAGTGTTGGTGGGGGACTGACACAAACCTAAAGCCCTCTCTGGTAGTACTGATGGGGACCAACACATACCTTAGTTCCCTCTGCTAGTACTGGTAGTGTTGTGACACAAACCTTAGTTCCCTCTGCTAGTACTGGTAGTGGTGTGACACAAACCTTAGTCCCCACTGATAGTATTGGTAGTGGTGTGACACAAACCTTAGTCCCCTCTGATAGTATTGGTAGTGGTGTGACACAAACCTTAGTCCCCACTGATAGTATTGGTAGTGGTGTGACACAAACCTTAGTCCCCTCTGATAGTATTGGTAGTGGTGTGACACAAACCTTAGTCCCCTCCAACAGTATTGGTAGCGGTGTGACACAAACCTAAAGCCCTCCCTTGTAGTACTGGTAGGGACCAACACATACCTTAGTCCCCTCTGATAGTATTGGTAGTGGTTTGACACAAACCTTAATCCGCTCTGATAGTATTGGTAGTGGTGTGACACAAACCTTAGTCCCCTCTGATAGTATTGGTAGCGGTGTGACACAAACCTAAAGCCCACCCTGGTAGTACTGGTAGGGACCAACACATACCTTAGTTGCCTCTGAGAGTATTGGTAGGGTGTAACACAAACCTTAGTCCCCTCTGGTTATACTGGTAGGGACCAACACATACCTTAGTTGCCTCTGATAGTATTGGTAGGGTGTAACACAAACCTTAATCCCCTCTGGTTATACTGGTAGGGACCAACACATACCTTAGTTCCCTCTGATAGTATTGGTAGGGTGTAACACAAACCTTAATCCCCTCTGGTTATACTGGTAGGGACCAACACATACCTTAGTTCCCTCTGATAGTATTGGTAGGGACCAACATATACCTTAGTTCCCTCTGATAGTATTGGTAGGGGCGTAACACAAACCTTAGTCCCCTCTGGTTATACTGGTAGGGACCAACACATACCTTAGTTGCCTCTGATAGTACTGGTAGGGACCAACACATACCTTAGTTCCCTCTGATAGTATTGGTAGGGACCAACACATACCTTAGTTGCCTCTGATAGTATTGGTAGGGCGTAACACAAACCTTAGTCCCCTCTGGTTATACTGGTAAGGGACTACTATCAAGACATCTTTCCTACAAATATCCATATACAATAGCATGGGGTATAAAATAATCAAATCAGAAATCTTAAGTCCTAAATGTTGCCTCAGAGGTGTCCAGACTAGGAGACAAAAGTGTCATTAGGTGGCAGTAACTACATGTACCAATGAATGATATGTAATACTACTTCAAAATTAAAGTACTGGTATGTTCCCATTCAGACATCAAATCAAAGTTATACTCACAATTTGATTTCATTGTCTATTTCTTCTTCACAAGACAGCTCCTCAAGGTCGTAGAAATCTCCCTCATCATTTGTTGATAAGTCATGTGAGAAAGTTTCCTCCATATTTGATAAGTCATGTGAGAAAGTTTCCTCCATATTTGTTGGCAAGTCAGGGGGATAACCATCCCCATTATTTGTTGACATGTCAAGGGTCATGTAGTCCAGAGTTTGTCCAGGAAGTATCCCTATTGGAACCTGTGACCAATCTACATGATCTACAAGGAATCAAAGTACAGTAGAGATAGCAGGTACCTCCTACCTTGTTTATAGGGAAATCATAAAATGTCAAACCTAAATAAAAACCTGCAACTTTGTTTACAAGAAACATAGGCTTATAGTGAAAATAAAGCTAAACAAGTACTTGTTACCTATTAAAAACACAAATTTAATCAGAGCTTTTAAACATGTTCCTTTTAACCACCCATCCCTGATGATGGTGAACTTGACCTCCCCACTAACACCCATCACTGATGATGGTGAACTTTTATATATTTATAGTATAAACAACAGATAATAACTATTTGTAAATCAAGACTGATTTTAGGTCATTATCAGTTTTTTTGTAAAACACTTGGATAATTTAATATCTAATCTCAGTGTCACATTCTTGGGCACCAAAGTATGGTAACTGATCAAGGCCATGCAGGTATGTTTCCGGTGTAAGGACCCAAAGTAAGTTATTTTTGGGTCCTAGGTTGTGAGTGAAGACCCAAAGATACCTGTCTTAGAGCCCCTTGCCCTAGGGACACCTAGTTTAGGGCCCTTTAGCTCAAGGATACCTAATTGAGGGTCTTATGGTCTTGAATTGAAAAATACCTTTACCGCCTTTATCAGTCACCATACCAAATGAGAAACAGAATATATGTGAAATATTCTATCAGCAGAATTACCTTCACATAACTGCCATAATGGCTGTGCACAGGCAGCAGAGGATGAATCTTTAACAGCATTAACGTTGTCGTCTGAACGTTCACACCTCTTTTTCCTTGATCTTAAGTCTGAAGTTATGCAGTCAATTAATCAATGATTAATAAAAAGTCTATGAAACAAAAATAATGGTCAAACCAGATTGGTAAATTTGGGTATTAGTTTGGCATGGAGATACAAGAAGCAACCTCGTATCTATAGCATATGATCTTCTGTCAATTTTGTATTCCTGCTCTCTCCCTTCATTATTTATATACCTTACTTATTCTAATAAAATATGTTACCCACATTTAATACAAATGTCATAAAATACCATGTGAATTTGTTGGGGAGATGTGCTCCATTTTATCACCAAATTTAAAAGGAAATACACAATTGTACATTCATTGTAATTGTAATTAATGCCATTATTTGGCAATAAGGTGGCATCATTAATACTGGGTCACATGAAAATCCTTAATATATGTCAAATCCATTTAAATCTTGAATCTCCGTGTCAAATTTGAAAGGAATTCAGCAGAAAATTAAAATATTCTTGCCTTTTCATATATGCCAATAGAAGGGGCATAACTCTGTTAAAAATAACTGAAAAATTCTGTAACATGACGTGACAGACTGTGGACAGTGTACAGTATACCATAATACAATCTGTCATCAAAGAGCATTTTGACTCAAACTTTTGTTCCATTTGTCTCACAAAAATGAAACTATTCAGTTTGCTCAACTTTTGTCTACATAAAAATCCATTTTTGATTTGAAAACAAATATAATTTGATGAAGTTAGTGGACTTATTATCAATCATGCATACTGATTTTCAGAGTACTTGTGTTGTGATTTTTTTTTTGGATAATATCTGTTCATAAGAAGAAAAAATGTCAGTAATCATAAGGAGTCCATTGCTTGCCTTCCACATTGTAGACAATTTTATCCTGATCCGCGAGTGTAAAAGTTCTTTTCTGTCCCAGTTTGTTAGTATCTGCTTGCCCTGCTTGTGAATTCTGTTCCACTTTGTCAGCTTCAGGCTGTCTTTTAGGTACAGAGGGCTGGAGTTGGTCCATAAGAGTGCCAATCTGTGTAATCTGATTCTCTGTGTATTCTTTCTCTTTGCCAAGATTTAATAATCTATAAATGAAAAAAATATGATATTAGTTTGAACATATGTTAAATACTTTGTATATCTCAATGTTACTGTGTATAAGATAATCAGGTCCACAAAATTGCAAAAATACACTCATTTCATAACGTCATGGTGTAGTATCTTCTGACATGGCAAAAATGGTGATATGTTTTCCATAATGCATTTTAGTAGTATCCTCTTAAAGCATACATATTGTATCTTTCTATACAGCCCAACTACAATCATTTTCTATCATGCCTGGATTTGTTTCCAAGACTTACCGTTTGATTAGAGGGATTGTGTAGTCACATGGGATATAAAGGAGTGACTCAAGCACAGGACGAAACTTCAGGGGTACAGACCTCTTATACAGTCTTGTTGAATTTCGATTGGCATTTTTGGTATCTGTAGAAAAAAAAAAGCAAAATGCTGAATTATGAAATGCATTTGCATTTAATATGCAAATTCATTTCATAATTAAGTGTATTGTTATATCATGACCAAAATGGTGTATTACAAATGAATGGAAACATACTTGGACTTTGTGTATCTGTTGGTACTCTGGCTGTGTATCTGTTGGTACTCTGGCTTTGTGTATCTGTTGGTACTCTGGCTGTGTATCTATTGGTACTCTGGCTGTGTGTATCTGTTGGTACTCTGGCTGTGTGTATCTGTTGGTACTCTGGCTTTGTGTATCTATTGGTACTCTGACTATGTGTATCTGTGGGTGCTCTGACTATGTGTATCTGTTGGTACTCTGGCTGTGTATCTGTCGGTACTTTGGCTGTGTGTATCTATTGGTACTCTGGTTGTGTATCTATTGGTACTTTGGCTGTGTGAATCTATTGGTACTCTGGCTGTGTATCTATTGTGTGTATCTCTGATCTATTGTGTATCTGTTGTATCTGGTACTCTGGTGTATCTGTGTATCTGTTGGTACTTGGCTTTGTGTATCTATTGGTACTCTGTATCTATTGGTACTCTGACTATGTGTATCTGTGGGTGCTCTGACTGTGTATCTGTTGGTACTCTGGCTTTGTGTATCTATTGGTACTCTGACTATGTGTATCTGTGGGTGCTCTGACTATGTGTATCTATTGGTACTCTGGCTTTGTGTATCTGTTGGTACTCTGACTCTGTGTATCTGTTGGTACTCTGGCTATGTGTATCGGTTGGTACTCTGACTCTGTGTATCTGTTGGTACTCTGGCTGTGTGTATCTGTTGGTACTCTGGCTGTGTGTATCTATTGGTACTTTGACTCTGTGTATCTATTGGTACTCTGGCTGTGTATCTATTGGTACTCTGGCTGTGTATCTGTTGGTACTCTGGCTGTGTATCTATTGGTACTCTGGCTGTGTATCTGTTGGTACTCTGGCTGTGTATCTATTGGTACTCTGGCTGTGTATCTGTTGGTACTCTGACTGTGTGTATCTGTTGGTACTCTGGCTATGTGTATCTGTTGGTACACTGGCTGTGTGTATCTATTGGTACTCTGACTGTGTATCTGTTGGTACTCTGGCTGTGTATCTATTGGTACTCTGGCTATGTGTATCTGTACTGGCTGTGTACTCTGGCTGTGTATCTATTGGTACTCTGGCTGTGTATCTATTGGTACTCTGGCTGTGTATCTGTTGGTACTCTGGCTGTGTATCTATTTGTACTCTGACTGTGTATCTATTGGTACTCTGACTGTGTATCTGTTGGTACTCTGGCTGTGTGTATCTATTGGTACTCTGGCTGTGTATCTGTTGGTACTCTGACTGTGTATCTATTGGTACTCTGGCTGTGTATCTGTTGGTACTCTGGCTGTGTATCTATTGGTACTCTGACTGTGTATCTATTGGTACTCTGGCTGTGTATCTATTTGTACTCTGACTGTGTATCTGTTGGTACTCTGACTGTGTATCTATTGGTACTCTGACTCTGTGTATCTGTTGGTACTCTGGCTGTGTATCTATTGGTACTCTGACTGTGTATCTATTGGTACTCTGGCTGTGTATATCTATTGGTACTCTTGGCTATGTGTATCTATTGGTACTCTGGCTGTGTGTATCTGTTGGTACTCTTGGCTATGTGTATCTGTTGGTACTCTGGCTATGTGTATCTGTTGGTACTCTGGCTGTGTATCTATTGGTACTCTGACTCTGTGTATCTGTTGGTACTCTTGGCTATGTGTATCTGTTGGTACTCTGGCTTTGTGTATCTGTTGGTACTCTGGCTGTGTATCTATTGGTACTCTGGCTGTGTATCTGTTGGTACTCTGGCTGTGTATCTATTTGTACTCTGACTGTGTATCTATTGGTACTCTGACTGTGTATCTGTTGGTACTCTGGTTGTGTATCTATTGGTACTTTGGCTGTGTGAATCTATTGGTACTCTGGCTGTGTATCTATTGGTACTCTGACTGTGTATCTATTGGTACTCTGACTGTGTATCTATTGGTACTCTGACTGTGTATCTATTGGTACTCTGACTGTGTATCTATTGGTACTCTGACTGTGTATCTGTGTGTATCTGTTGTATCTATTGGTACTCTGGCTGTGTATCTATGGTACTCTTGTGTGTATCTATTGGTACTCTGACTGTGTATCTATTTGGTACTCTGTGTGTATCTATTGGTATTGACTGTGTATCTATTGGTACTCTGACTGTGTATCTATTTGTACTCTGACTGTGTATCTACTGTGTATCTATTGGTACTCTGACTGTGTATCTATTGGTACTCTGGCTGTGTATCTATTGGTACTCTGGCTGTGTATCTATTGGTACTCTGACTGTGTATCTATTGGTACTCTGACTGTGTATCTATTGGTACTCTGACTGTGTATCTATTGGTACTCTGACTGTGTATCTATTGGTACTCTGGCTGTGTATCTATTGGTACTCTGGCTGTGTATCTATTGGTACTCTGGCTGTGTATCTGTTGGTACTCTGACTGTGTGTATCTGTTGGTACTCTGACTGTGTGTATCTGTTGGTACTCTGGCTGTGTATCTATTGGTACTCTGGCTGTGTATCTATTGTGTATGTATCTATTGGTACTCTGTGTATCTGTGTATCTGTGTGTATCTGTACTCTGACTGTGTATCTGTACTCTGTGTATCTGTTGGTACTCTGGCTGTGTATCTATTGGTACTCTGGCTATGTGTATCTGTTGGTACTCTGGCTTTGTGTATCTGTTGGTACTCTGGCTATGTGTATCTGTTGGTACTCTGACTGTGTATCTATTGGTACTCTGACTGTGTATCTATTGGTACTCTGACTGTGTATCTGTTGGTACTCTGACTGTGTATCTGTTGGTACTCTGATTATGTGTATTATATGTATATTAAATCTCTTAAAACGTTTGCCATGTCCTTGATATGATGATAATTTAGCTAGTATATAGCAGCACTATTAATGTTATTCAATGATTCAAATTTTATGTTTGTATCAAGTAGAGGAAAAGTATAAATTTTTCATGGAAGTCACAAAATAGACTTGAATGCATTTTCTAGGTACTAAATTGCTGGTTATTTTTGCAGGAATAATAGTTTTGTTATACAGCGGTTTTTATAATGTGATCCAAAAACTTAAATCTTTTAAATAACGAGAAATGTGTATATTTGATGTTCTGTTACATGCAGATTGTGAAATTTTAATTTCAAAATTTTGACCAGTGAAAATTATCAGCAATACAGGATGTTTCTTCATTTTTTTATTTTTTTTTTGGTTTTTATTTTTTTCATCTGTATCAATCTTGAAAGCCTCTACATCTGTAGATCTGTAGAGCACAACATTTTTCTCTGCATGTTTGAACTTACTTGCTTGTTCATTTGATGTGATTATATGGTGAATCCAACCACACATTACGTAATCCTGCATACTGAATTTTGTTGATACTTTTGATGCCAGCTTGATCAAAAGACTATTCGTGAGATTAAGTTGATGAAGAAATTGAAGAACTGGTTTCCAGAACAGGATAAGCATGTGAGGGAGAGCACAGTCTGGCTTTTCCAACTCTGTAAAAACGAAGTAAAATATTCCATGACATCCCATAAAATAGTAAGAGACATTGACCCAACAACCCTGAAAGGCAAACTTGTCCAAGATTATATGATGTTTCATAGACGTGTGACATTTGATGAGAATCCCTCAGGGAATGAAGAGTTCCTCAAGGAATGAAGTCGTTAATGCACTGACAATGAATTTCTTACAAGATGCCCATGATCCTTGATGATCATCTGACTATAAAGACCTACATGTGATAGCAGAGCAATAGCAACGGTTGTTATTTAAATTATTAAAACAGATCTAAAATATTTGACAGTAACAGCAAACAAGAGGCCCAATACGCCTGAATCGCTCACCTATTTTACAGTTTACACAGATGTCTGGGTGGACCTTGGTGGTAAGATGCTATGTTGTGAATGTAAACCAAATCTGTTCTAAGGGTCATTAGATATCTTGTAAACAAATGTAAATATGAACCCAATTTGTCCAGAGATTCATAGGTTATCGGATACACAATGTTATGGATGGGTGGAGGGAAGCGTCATGGTGTTCACACAGACAAAATGATTACTATAGCCCAACCGAACCCTGATCAATAAGTGGGGAGTATAATTATCATGTAGAAATCATTTAAATTAAAATCATGTGATGATGCCACACTACCAAAATCTATCTAACAGATAAATGGGATGTATATCAAACAGGCTATAAAGTAAACAGATTTTTCAGATGATACTGAAATGATAAATAAAATACTGAACTTACTGGATGGATCAATCCTTAAAGCTTGTAGCTGTTCCTGTGTTGGAATGATAAAACCCTCCTCTACCAGACAGGTCACCAACTGGTGTCTAAACAATCAAGAATGTATGAAGAAAGCAGCATGAGTGTTAGATTTAAGTTTAATGTTATTTCCCGTTGTTGAAAAGGAAAGAAATGTTACAGAATTTATTTTTTGATGGTGGTACATACTACAATTGGAGTATGTATATTGGACATTGAAAATATCCACAAGATATCACAAAGTTTAATAAATCATTGGATATCATTTGTAAGCACCATCAATTATTTCAACATTATTACTTATTCTACTACTGATTCAGTCCTCAGAGGTACCAGAAATATCTAACATTCCTAAGATACTGCAGATTTTAAACAACTGGCACCCCTCTTTCCAACTCCTTTATGATTTCTGTGTAGCACACAGTAACACACACAATACCTACCTATTTAACAATAAAAATTTCCCAGTTCTTTACAATATTTTCATACTAAAATCAATACATTAATACTTACCTATTCTGAACTGGAACTGTTTCAAAGTTCTTTACAATTTTTGAAGAATAATCTTTGAAACTTTTCTCATCTATTTCCTAAAATAAAATAAAATCTAATTTAACATTTAACAGTGATGTGTGTGTGACCCAGCTATGCAAGTTGTTATGTGAGGACACACTGACGACGCAAACTATAACTATGTGAAGGGAGGTAATCCGATATGGCAGACAGAGAACTCCAGAATGATAACCCCAAGAATGGCATGTTCCTGCACATAGTATGCACCCCCTTTTTGACACGACAGTTTTGCCTAACAAAAGTGTGCACTATATGTACAAATTTACAGTATCACATAAATCATCTAAGTGTCAAACTACAGGTGAAATCAGATTAAAGTAGAGTGTCACTGACGTGATGACAAATGTATTCCCTACACCTTGTACAGAAGTATTTCTAAAGTATTATAATGTGACAGCTGATATTTTAGCCTTGACTGATGACCAATAGATCTCATAATACAACTTCTGTAAGTATAGGAACATGACTTTAATAGGCAATGTTTAAATCTTTTTGTCAATGAAAGATTTTGAAATTTTATCAAGAATTTTACATAATGTTAATCTTCTGCACTTGCTTTCACTCTATAAAATAAATACCTGTTGCAATTTGTTACCTTACCTGCAACTTATGTTGCTGATATCTTTCTAGGATTACCCGTATATCAAGTATATCAGATGAGTCTGTTCTCTTTCCATCAACATTCGAAGCCATGGAATTCAGTTGCTTTTCCCAAAATTCTGCCTGAAATTACAATGGACTTTGAATATTGTTCCCTTCACAGAACAAAATCATAGCCAACACTGACAATGAAAATACAAGAAATCAAATCCCCTGTCAAAATTAAACATGATTTCAATTTACATAACTGAAAACCTTTTTAATGTAAACTTTTTTCTTTTTTCTTAGTGTTTGTTCACACAGATATGATGTAAAGTTCCAAATTAATTTCTTCATGAGATTGCGAATGCAAAGCTTTATTTTTCTAGTACAGCAGATTTTACTTCCATTAATGACTTTTACAATGCTGATCTGCTTATGGAAAGGCAATCTTAGATACCAGTTCACAAGTATAATTCCTGTCCATATACATCATGACTTAAGCCAGAGGAATGTCCAAACACAATCTAAGATACCAGTTACATGTACTGTAAAAATGTTTTTTTTTAATGGTCAAATTTTTGTGGTTTTATCAAAAGATTGGAGAAGAAAACACAAACTTTTCACACAATCAATAAACAGGTTATTTTTTCTCAGTTTATTTTAGCTTTAAGTTAGCTACTGATTTTTTCATGCTTTCATTCAATCCTTAGAAACTGGCAACAATCAAAACCCTTCGAAATTCAGAACTTTTACAGTGCTTGGGACACCTCGGTGGGAAAGTGTCCTTTGGATATAATTTGTAGTAAGCATCAAGACAGTACTCATACAAAAGCTAAGAATGAGTTACAATGAGCAAGGAAAGCACTCATTTAAAGGTGGACATATAACTCTACCTTCAGCCATGACAATGCCCAATCACAGGCTGACGTGAGCATGGGAAGAGGAGGCAGATGTCGATGGGTGGCATCATGTCGCAGATGTACAATCCATTCTGGCACACCAACCTTACAACAGATCCAATTTATTTCAATTCAAAATTCATTTTTTTTTCAATTCAGTATGTGCTAATTATCCAATACAAGGAAAGTATTAAATATCAGGTATTCTATCCCACATTTCAAATATATATTGGAATTTATAATTTACATTGAAAGGGGGACAACTATAACCAGGACAACAATCATGGAGAGAAAGGTCTATTCATATACTTTATTATATTTTAAGTAATGCCCCAAGTATGACAGGGATTGAGACCTGTTCTGTTTTTATTAGTTGTTAAGTAAATCCACAATACACTGTAGATTGGTTGGTTCGAAAGAAATTTAACTCAAATTTTTTCTCTGTGTGCTCTACGATCCTTAGGTCTAGATAAATCAATAACAAAGTAGTGTTACAATAAAGAATAGATAGACAGGTCATCGACCAAGATATATATATAACTACCTGACTGGCTATAACATGAATAGGAAGTGCATACTCCCCTGTCTGGCCTTTCTCAGTTATATGATTAACAAACCTGTAAATGAAATATTTAAAAAATAAAACATTCAGTCCTCTTTCCACCAGTAGTTATTGAGAGAAAATATAATGTAAATGACAAATATTTAAAAAGATTATTGTTCTATCTATTATTGATAGGAAACATACTAAACACAATGGCTTTTCAAGTATATGTGATCCTATACCAATCTAAAGTAAATATGAAACTCAAGTTATTCATTCACATCAATAACCTCTATTTTTATTTGAGGTAAGACATGTTATCAACACATTTTTTGTTTGTATAAGAAACGTAATTGATTCCCAATGAATTTGACAAGCATCATCATTTAGTGTGTTTCTAAGAGTAACTATCATCGAACATTTGATGAGTTCAGTGTACACACCTGATCACAGCCAGGCTGTATGAGGAGCGTATTTCATTATCTTGTTGCCTATCTTGTTTTAACTGGACTGCCTTTTGATGGTGAAGCTTGGCATGAACAATGGCTGCTGTGCTGTCAATGGCTACAGGAATTTTGTGCAATGCCCTAGAGAAGAAAAAGATAGGTCTTAACACCAGCAATAAAAATGTAGGACAAGATAGAAGTCTCAAAATGTATGAAAATTAATTCCGAATTACATTTTACAGTCACATTAACCAAGTAATTTAATTATGTGTGAACCTCTGTTTAACATAATATGTTATACAATGTATTAAAATATACATGATTAAGAAAAAAAACCAAAGACAGATTTATGGGCAAACAATGAAGGAAAACAAAAAAGAAGTAATAAGAAAGCAAGCCTACAACCACTTTTGAACCAAAAGAACACACAAAGTCATTAAATAACCTGATTTTATATTGGCTGTGTCATCATCTGCTCCATTCAGTAAAAATACTAGAATCGCCAGGTAATCCATTCCGTTGGATAAGTTTAAATATTTCAAAATCAATTTTTTGGAAAATAATGTTCAAACATAAAACAGAACATATCTAAATACCTGCAGCTGTGAAAACTATATACCTGGTAATAGATTTGATTTCAAGGTCTTTTACTTCAATAACCTTTGAATGCACTACTTCATCATTGATTTTGATGGGCTACGACTCCCTATGGATTTCTCCCAATAGAATTTTTTTTTTCATTATATAATTTGTGGAATCTAGTATAATTAATTATGTTCTTAGCGCTTCTGTGATTTTTGGGACTCAGATATTTCAGTCCTGGACATGTGATTTTCCTTTGGAACTCGCTAAAATTTTGAGCACTCACTATATCTTTAGGTATCTTTAAGTATTAGGACATCCAAATTATGGAAATAGTGTTTTCTTAACTCAGCTGAAAAAATCCTAAAAAAAATTACTGATGCTTAGTGGATTCATAGTTCCCATACTATACCAGGTATGTAAGCGGCAAACATTTCATGCAAAATGTTTCATTCAGAGTGATAATCAAGTTACTAAGGATTTTCCTATCTTATCACAAGGCAGGTTACAAAATGTCAAACTTCCATTACTTTCTTTATACCTTATTTTGGTTTTTTAATTTTTCACATCTTGTAAGATCATATTCATATTTGAAAATTGTCTTCATTTTCTATTCCTTCAAATGAATTTTCAGTCTTTTAACTTTGTTTTAGGAAGTCTACAAAGTGTATGCAGTGTAATACTATTTATTGATATCTTAATTTTACAATACTTTTATGAATTATTAATATCTACAAATGTACTGTAGAAATCATATAAAACTATCCTTCAGTACTGAAGACAAAATCTTGTGGCTCTTTAATCTAAGTAGGCTATAAAAAATTATATGTGAAATACTCTTAAGTACAGGTAATATATTTGAAATCTTGATATGAAAATATTGTGTGATCACCTGCTTCTCCAGACATCAATCCTTCCAACAGCATGTGTTTGTTGCCGGGGATCATTTCCAAACACCTCATTGTATACACATTCAAACTCTTTCCTACAATATACAACACATTTCAGTAATAAGTGTGAGTTGGTGGTCATATTCTGAGAAGGAATCGCCTTTTAGTGCTGCATCTTTTAGTGCAAAATATATGTCCATATCCTTCTATAAAGAAAACAAGATTTCAAGAAAACTTGTTGGCTATATATTAACAGCATGTTGTGAGAGGATCAAAATTATCAATGAAGAGTGAGTCTACAAGATGTCAATTGTCAAGCTTAAAGGGGATTTTTATTGTGTAATGACAACTAGGCAGTTAGGTGTAAAACACATTTTTGACTTTGCTGCTATTAGTCAGTAGCAGTCAACCCATATAACGACTCGATTCAAGAATCAAAAACATTACTCCTATCAATATGTACTAAATTATTACAATCGCAAACAGACTAAATCGATCTCGGAATGTTCAGCTAACAAGTCAGATCGACGATATAGACACGTATTTGTCAGTTTGTAGAGTCAATGCCAATGGTAGGTGGCATGGACTAAAGTAACTACATTATAACATCCCTTCATACATGAGCAGATTAAGCGTTAATTTTATAATTCACCTGTTTTTCCACGGCACAACTCTTCTTCTGGTAACCTGATTCATTTCCGAAACGCTGCAATGAGTAGTCACACGTGCACAAGATATGTCCGGAAGTTTTGAAAGAGAGATAATATTAAAGCAGGATTCGGCGAAATTTCCGGATTTTGTAGTGCGCTGTCAATTGTGGTCGTCAAATGTGTGCTCCTAATGCTACGAAGGCAGTACTACCATATTCAAAGAGACATAAGACCGATATCTAACAAATGAAAAGCACGCGCATTTATTCTTAACTACACGCAATGTGCAGTATCAAAATGAATTTAAAATGTATGTCAGTATTATCAACTTGACTTGACGTATTTGACTAAAGAGTTTGTGACGGATTTCAATTATTGTTTTGGTTTTAAAGGACAAGCATGTAGAGCTACTCGCTTACAAAAGATCAGATACTAACAATACATTCCTCCTAATAAAAGTTTACGTTGATTATAACACACATGTATCCTATGTAAGAATGCATGCTATCCCAGATTTATTTCCTTCGTTTTGTATAAGTTGAGAGAGTGGGCATTTCCCTCTTGTCGAGCGGGAGAGTGTATGACTAGAGACTGAGGGGTCACTAGTTCGAACCCTGACCGGTGACAAGATTTTTTTTAATTTCATTCCTTTGGTGTCATTGGCCACTCCAAGTGTAGAAGCTATATACCATTGAGATGCTCATTTACCGAAGATTCCTTGCAGTGTTGTAGCCTTCGGGGTCGAAGACTTTGTGAAGTCCCTTTAGTCGAGAGGTAGAGTGTCCGGCGAAGGGTCGCTAGTTCGTACCCCAGCAGTGACGGCGTGTAAGTTATTACTCCTTCATATGACAGTTTCACAGAGTTTGCTTTTAAATAGCCTAATAAATAGTTTGATCCCGACAAAAGTCCCAGTCCACTTTCCCCTCCTCTCTAGCCTAACGTCCGATGTAAGAGCTAGACTTCAATATTGTATTGTTTTTTATTATGCTTAATTGTACTTTTTTCTTTGCTTGGTGTTGAGTTTCGTGTTCTACCCAAATGTCACTGTGCCTATTTTGGCACCATTGCAAACGCATGTCGGTTTGAGTTTTCAGCTGGATAAACCTTTTTTTCGAATAGTGTAGTTCTGTGCATGATTTTAGATAAAAAAATCATAAGAATGCAATTGCTAATTTTTCCTTTCTTCTTTTCGAAATTATGTTAGATCTTCATTTAAATCTGAGCCCCCACCTTACTACCCCTACCCTCATGAACTCGGATACCTAATTTTCATCCTTCATTGGATATGTAGGGTCCGTTTTTTAGGTTCTCTGGGTAATTCTAATGTTCGATCCTCGTCGTGTCTAACATTTTCAGGTACAATATATCTTACACTATTATGGTGTTTGTTGTCTGCGTAAGTGTTGTGAGAAATATCTTTATTATCAACACGATTGGACACGAGACGGGGTGTGATTGAAGTCACGAGATACCACATAAACGTTATCAAAGATAACAAAGTCAAGTCATTTACATTGAATCACGTATAGTGATGTCCTGTACAAACTTTATTAAAATCTCATGCATCTTGATACACATAAAAGTATCCCAACCATGTTCATTTAAAAAAATTCCCCTTAAAACTAATGGGACACTAAATGAAAGGCATACAATACATACCATGTAAACAAGTCTCGAACAAAACAAGTATATGATAAAAACATACGAGTATCTCATCTTCAGAAAAATGTGAACTTGAAAAAAGACATCGGTTATCGGCCCTTATATTGCTCGTTCTTTTCGAGTTATACTACTTCCTCTTTAACAATTGACGTTATTTTGGAGACAGAGAGAGGTTGTGTATATGCCGGAGATTGGTAAGTTTAGAGAAACTGGCAGTCTTTGTTTTGACGTCAGCTCCAACGATGACATCAGCCACAGAATCAGCCACTCTTAGCACGTGGTATAGGACACCATTGGTTTTATCAAATCCGTTAAATATTGATCCTCCGTAATACCGTTCAAACAAACCTGAAAACAAGCACACAAAAAAGTCAGTAACCCGACGTGAAGCCTATTTTCTTACAAAGAGAACTATGTGAATTTTTTCTTGATTTCGATTCAAACATATTTTATTATTTCACAACCATTAGCAACAAGATTGGACACAAGTTATTATAACCTTATTTATGCACTTTCTCAAAATAAACTACGATTACAGCATTCGGCAAACAAAGAGGACATGAATGGAAGCTTATAATACATACAGCAAAGTTTCATTGATCTCCGAACTATGAAAACAAATTGTAATTAATCGTAATTTAGTGAAACTGTGCACATTTTAAAATATTTCATTAGTGTCTACAGGCAGATTTTTGCCTCCAGGAAGAAGTGAATCTAAATTATAAAAACAAGGCTACATTTTCATGATTAAGGAAAAGCAAATGTCTCTGCCTGTTCATAATTGGAACAATTAAAAAATGGAAAATATTTTCACAAGTGTTTCACATTAGTATTTCTTTGTGAAATTATCGTAAAACAGAAGTACATGCTTACCTGGCGGGGCGATCTGGAAGAGTTCCGTCACTTTACCTGACATGGGGTCAATCTGAATCAAACTCCATGTCGGCCGTTTCTCTGAGTACGAACCTTGAGGAGCCACAGTATACAGCAAAGCTTCGGATAAAAAAGAAACCCAAATATAGTTAGTAACACATAAACGAGAAATAATGACAATTAGATAATTAATAAAAGTGACAAAAGAGGAAAGAAATAATAAGGTATTCATAAGGTTAGTTTGTTTATGCCAGAGTTAAACCCTTAAGTTTGGTAGAAAATGAATTAACGACAATGATAAAACTAGTACTCACGTTCCTGTGGGGATAGGCGACCGACGTGGATTGACATGAACGTAAACGCTGATTTCTCTACTGGCACCATTTTGACAAAAGATCTGCAGTAAGAAAAATAGTATTTGATTTCCTTGGTTAGCACCAAACACCAAAACAAATGAGGTGTAATATTTTCCCAGCTCTGAAAAACGTGAAAAAAATATCTGTGGATGAAGTCAATTAATGATAACACATTTATCAGCATTGTTTATTTCCAATTCATGCAATTATTCAATTACTCTCGGCTGCACCTTCGAAATCCAAGGGTTCCAATCCATTCTCTTTGAAATCGAAGGGTCGGTTTACTTGTCTGTAAACCAAAATTCTTTCGTGGCCCCTAGCTTTCACGATTTCCACATCTCAACAAGTGTACAGTGACTAACTTTCACGAAACTGACTCGATCAACTGTTGTCGTCGTCCGTCACCTCTGTGTAGATTCATCACGCACTTGTCTTACTTCGCGGTGGTTAACTTTCACGAAACAGACTATACTATAATCAATGTCAATTCATCACACCCTTGTCTTAATTCGCGGTGGTGAACTTTCACGAAACAGACTATACTATAATTAATGTCAATTCATCACACCCTTGTCTTAATTCGCGGTGATTAACTTTCACGAAACATACTATACTACAATTAATGTCAATTCATCACACCCTTGTCTTAATTCGCGGTGATTAACTTTCACGAAACATACTATACTACAATTAATGTCAATTCATCACACCCTTGTCTTAATTCGCGGTGGTTAACTTTCACGAAACCGAGTATACTACAATTAATGTCAATTCATCACACCCTTTTCTTAATTCGCGGTGGTTAACTTTCACGAAACCGAGTATACTACAATTAATGTCAATTCATCACACCCTTGTCTTAATTCGCGGTGGTTAACTTTCACGAAACAGACTATACGACAATCGATGTCAATTCATCACACCCTTGTCTTAATACGCGATTCGTGGCATTGTTTCGATCATGAAACTCGTCATTTTTATGATGCCACATACAAACATTTCCACTGAAAATTAAGAAGCCACAATACTTAAAAGCAAAGCCGACCAATTTTCCTTTACATTATCGTACAATTCCTTTTCAAAATGTCTGGCGGGGGGAAGAAAAACATGCACTACATTATGTATGGCGTTGACTTTTGAGGTGGATGCAGTGCAATTATGTCTCATCCATAACCGAAAAGAAACTTTATCAATCCGTAACATTTTTTGTCAAAGTTGCTATATATTTCTGAGGACCACCCCGGCGCGTAAACAAGATAGCTTTCCTTCGTTTTTGTGAATATTATAGGGCGATGAGTTTAAATGATATATCGCTTAAAAGCGGACGTCATTGATGTGTTTCACCGACAATAAAAATATACCTTAGACTGATAAGATATTTCTATATGAGCAAAATGTCACAGAATCCCGCTTCGATGCCGAATTTAACAGTTCGCTCAACTTTGCGAAGGGCTCACAATTATTTATTTCAAGGTGATGGAGAACGGAGCCCTTGGGTTTAGGAGATGATTACTGAATTGATTACGTAATTTTATGTGACTTTTTAAAACGTACTGGTTGAAGAAGTTATACACGTATATTCTGGCGTCCAGAGTGTCGGGTGCATTTTCGTTACCCATCAAAACAAACAACTGTCCAGATGTTGGGTCCATGCTTGCCCATTGGAAATTCACAAACAAGTTCTCGGTGTCAAGGCTGCGGTAAATTTGTTTGTATACTAAACCAGTTCCGGGCACGTAGATGATCTGACCCATGACGAAGTGAAAGGTACCTAGCAGAGAAATAGAGACAATGAATAGGTTATTAAACAAGTACTGCAATCAATTATATGTCAAAGATTTAACTGTATATCAATATACAGTAGAATAGATTGGGAAAACAATTTATCGTAATAGATTGTACACAGGTAGTTACTCATTAGATAGAACATTACCCACGCGCACAAAACCAAAAGGAAAACAAACATGAAATGGGAATGGCAGGAAAACACTTCAAAGCGTTTACAAAGATTGAAAAATACCGATAGAAATCAACAAAGCAAGTCGTGAACAAGATGAACATTTCTCCAGACAGAAATATCTAAACCATATCACAGATGTTTGACTGACCAGCTTTTGTGTTATCCTCTTGTATTCCAAATGAAACGTAAGTTCGTGGTTTTACGTATTCAAGTGCACTGATAGGAACACCGTCAAAACCATGCAAGGACGTGGTGAGTTCCAACTTCCCATTATTGGTGTATAAAACCATGACGTCACTGGCTACGTCATCCATAGCACCACCCTTGTGATACATTGTCAACATTTCCGATTCTGCAGGATTAAGAGCTGTTATGCCATCCATAATGAACTCAAGTGGTTGTGTAGCAAACCTTTCTCGTGTACGTGTTAGATCGACACCGATATTGAACTGGTTCAGAGGTTGTACGAATCCAAGTTCGACAGAAATGTTAACAAAGTCTAAACGTTCCGGTTCAAATTCGTTATAGGCAAGTCCCTGTAGATAAAATGGAGCATCCGTATATTCGTTCATTGGGTAATTCATTTGGAGTTGTGATGCCATCCGCAATGTCCGAAAGTTTGGATCCATTGGTACTGACAAATAAGCCTTTTTGATAGGGACAGGGAGCTTGATCACTTTAACGTCGGCGCATTGATAGAAAATCGTCTCCCCGGGTTTGTGAGATTGGTAACGGGCTCGTATGACACAATGGTCGCATGGGGTGTCTGGAATCCTCTGCAAGACAAACCAGATTATTAAAAATTACTGCGAGAAAATGGAGATGGCAAAGATGGTTGTGATTTTGTGAATTTTTGAACATTTTTTTTAAAACGCAAATCATAACTAACAGTTGAACATATGGGGATGTTTAAATTCTTGTTTGATATCGGAGGTAGGTATACGCTGCTGGGGGTAATTTTCCTCGCTCGAGGTCTGCTACGCATATCCTATGAATAGTGACACTACTTCAGAATATGTTCGACTTTCATTTATTTTGACGACTTACGTTTCATGATAAAAATTCAACAGTTACCAAATTAGTTAAATTACTGGTTTGGCTCTCTTTCGATATACTGACGTTTATATCAATCATCATTTCCCTAATTCATCTTTTGTATTTCCACAATTTGAGCCTCTAGCTCCGGTAAAAAGCCCTGAAAAGACGAAACAACTCTATGATGCCGTTTCATCAATATGTACTGTATCTACTACAAAGTTCGCTTATTCGAAATACCTTTATAAGTCCTCGCTATGCTAGTTCTTGTAGATATTTTTAAAAAATGAATATTAATATGGCATACTTGATATTGAAATAAAACACGTGGGCTTTTAGATTTTAGTTTTAACATTAAGATGGTGTGTTCAAAACTTGCATAGTTTATTTTCTAAAGTATTTACATTATAGGAATTTGCCACACCACTGCTCCAAATGCTAATAACCCTATTGATGGGATTTGTTGGACAGACTTACTCGTAAATCCTTCGTTTAGGAAGTTTCCTACTCATAGTTTTGTGGTACAATGAACAATTCGTGGCCCTAGGGAATTTTAAAATATATATATCCTCATATGTCGTATTCCTCTGGTAGACAAACCTTCATATTTCACGTCAATCGGGACCGTAAATTCATAGTATGTGAACAAATTGTACCTACATGTCGGTTAGATATGAACCAATAACTGTTTATTGACTTACAATGACCGCCGTGTAATTTTGTTGGTGATCCTGTGCAAAGACGTACTTGTCTGGGACAAAAGTCAGAGTGGTAAAGTTTTCGCTGCCCAGTGGTGCAATGCTTATATCCATGAAGCCTGAAGTAGACAATAAAGTTAAGAAAAGGCTGTGGTCTGAATTGAACATGAGGAACCCCTTTTATGGCCATTACCTTATAAAGGATTCCAAAACACGGTTATCAAAAACCGGTAAGACAAATACACATTAAAAAGGCCAAAGTGCTCTCGATCGTCAGTGTTTGATAGAACACTAGACATTTAATTAGTAAATTGAAGGGATTTCAAACAATTATATAGGAAAGAAAGTGATACTACTACTAGTTTTGCGATCTTGAAAATTCAAAATTCCCCCTACCTGGATATCCAACTTCATAATGGTTGAAGTTTTGCTGCCATTTTATAAACATTTGCTGTCCCGCAATAAAAGGCTGTCCACGAGGCGTTTCTGCTGTCATACCTCCGCAGGGCGCACCGTGTCGAAAACATGTGTGGCTTCCTGACTAGAGTATACAATTAAACAAAGCCCAGTTCAAAGTAGTGACGTTATATCGAAAGTTTGACAGCAGAAAAAATGACATTGATAATCAAAACTGTGTCCTTACCAATGTGATGTCCATATCTCCCCTTTGATGCGGAGATATCAGACATAGGTGAGAATGACAGGTATGAAGGAGGCACGCTGCCAGCAGCAGCAAACGGACATTGAGCAACTCCATCGTGTTGTGTTACACGCTGTGTGTGTAAAACTATAATAATATATTGTTACATTATCAACTTCAAGTCACTACCTGTATCACATGATAGCAATCACTGTTGTTTATCATATTTACCGTGACGCTATCACGGGACCAACATCTGGGGTCATCTGAATTAGGACAAGGAATTTCTGTCAGCTTTAAGCTTGTTGTGTGTGTATTGTTGATGATACGAAACCAATCTGCATGACTTCTGTATCTCAATATCCCAAAACTTCTCTCTCCTTTCATGGTATCTGTGGTTAAATTATTTGAACAATTGTCAGGGTTTTCGGCATTTCTACACAAAACACGTCTTAATGACCAATTTTTGTCGACCTTATTGTTTTTCTAATACCGGGGATACATAATACCAGCAACGTATACTAATTAAGTATACGTCCCAGATAATACAGAGGGAAAATAAACTGCCTTTATATCTTGGTAAGGCTTGAAGGAGTTCGAGTTAACTAACCTTGTGGTGTTTATAAACCATTCTTATCCAAAAGCGCGTAAATATAATATTTCCAAAATAAACAGTTATAGAAAACAAGCTTCATAATTTTCAGACTGAGTGTGTTAACTTTTGAGACAAGTATTTTTGTTACGAAAATTAAACCTCAGATCATATCCACTACCATGTTCAGTATGGCAAATCAGTGCGAGTCCTCTTGTCCAACGGAAAGGAACTGGTCATTCTTTGGTCAATTGCTGACGATTATATAACCATCTTTTTGGCTTTCGGGTTTTAATATTTCATATCATTGCCTGTGATAGACCTAATTATGTACTGCTGTGTTATTGCATGTTTTACTCTGCGTTTGTATTTCTTAGGTGTAAACTGTCTGTGATAATCTGTATACATGTATGTAATATCCATGTTTTCTTTGCTTTTGTTTCTGTTGCTTTCTGTTGCTACCGCACGAATTTTATTCCTGTTTGATATATGCAACACTAGATCTTGTATCCTCTTGCTTGTATATTTTATGAAATCCTTAGGAATATCTGTGCGCGTAGACCGAAATTGTCGGTCTCTAAAATGATCATTTAATGTCAGGATTCAAATGCCGCTGACGTCTTCAATCGAAACCTTCCCCAACCAACGACAGAACTGTAAGCACCTTGGTTGTTCGACTGCATCATATGCCCTACAAGAAACCGTTTACTGTAACATAGAGCATCAAAGTAACATGTACATTGCCTTTTTGGATACACAAAAGGCCTTTGATACTGTATGTCACTCCGGACTAAAAGCCAAACTGCATTGGCTCGGGCTTGAAGGGCAGATGATCAAACCAATTCGCCAATCATATATCAATAAATTGAGTGCAGTGACCTATGGCGGTAGAACGTCAGAATGGTTCACTGTTAACTCGGGCGTGAGGTAAAATTCCTGTGATATGGACATCTGTGACATTATCCATCATGTAAGTGTGTCATATCGCTCATTATATACTGTAAACATGGCTCTCTGTCTAATGTTCTCTTAGACTATGGTCCCCTAATTTACAATCATTTCCTGGAAATGTGACGATTGTCTGTGCTCTATTTGGTGCAGAATTTCTCACATCTGTCCTGCCGGACCAAGCCTCCAAAATTAAACTCAGGATGATGTGTGCAGCCTTCATCAGAAAAGTTCTTTATTCAGTTTTCATCAAAAACAGAACTGACGCTGCCCTGTCAAATTTATTCAGTTCATTTAAAGTATATCAGTAACCTGCAGAAAAAGTCTCTGCTTCAGTCTTTCAATCCGATTCTTCTTTATTTTAGATACAGACGAAAGGCATTCGTGTGCAATATATTAAAAACATCATGTTAAATAGAAAGACAGATAATAACACACCTTTAATTAAAATAAAACAGAGAGTGAATGATTAAGATTTTGAACAGCATCATACAACCGACTACATGCTAAGCATTTCACTCATACAATTACATTACTGGTTCCCATCTCGCATATGATTACATACACATTTGTCATAAGTTATACTGAGAAGCAGTGTGTATTAACATGACCTATGTCAGTTTTCAGAACAGTGTTCACCACATAACTCACCCTAGGTAAGGTAGACGAGGCATAATCACATAATCATTCTTCGCTACACGATAAAACCCGCTGGTTTAAACATATTTTACTATCGGTATTAGATAAATAGATCAGAGACAAGTTCTAACAACTTATGAACTCTTCACCATAAATGAAATTACAAATGATGAATATACTGCACGTGACACCTATTTATACTATAAATATGAAGATAAGTAATTCGTAGACGTACAATTGTAAGTTTAAATCATTTTGTCAAGAGGAGAAAAAGATGAGATGATAGGATAGAAAGAAAAAAAGAGAAAAAGAGTACATATTTTATGTCAATTCTATATTAATTCAGTGCCGAATACAAACAGTGCATAATTAGGTAGTGATTTAACAATATTACGATTAGTTTCATATGAGTAAACACCACTGTCGCCCCATAAGATAGTTTCTATATTAAACTATATAATCTCGCTAAAGATGAACACCTGATATGGACAAACAATCTTATTCAATAGGAAGTTACGATATATGACAAAATACAACAATTAAATTCAGTAACTTCCGATATTCTAACCTCGGCTACGAGCACTAAAAACCATCTCAAATTACAGCACCTTATCCATTACACTATCATAGACTTTACCTAATCGTAATGCAGCAGATACCATGACAGGCACTTAAGATATAATTACATTTATGTAGATACAGATAGAATATGTATCAATAGCAGCGATCACAAATACATGTAAGTTGCATTGATATGTATTATCGTAATGATCCCTACTTTTCATATTCCAGTTATACTTATACATATTGAAATCAAATTTCGAACTCGGACGATTGGAAATAGGTACTAAGCATCAGCTGTCCACAGATCTCGAACTGCCAGATCGATCATAAAGAAATATGGATTTGAACTGATCACGGAAATTTGATTGGTCGACGCAGTTCGTTTGTTTCGTGAATAAACTTTAAATCTTTTATCTAAATTACGCACTCGTTGGTAATATATATAGAGCCTATTAGTAGAATACAATTATACCAACTTATAAAAATTAATATTATTGTTATACATGTGATGTTAACATAAATTGTACATTTGGATCACGTGGCTGTCATGTGACATAGACACTATCATCATCAAACTTTATTTCCCCCGATTTGGGTATATTTAGATACAAAATATATACATAATCAAGAAATTTACAATATGTTACTAAATGAGAACATTATAATTCTTTAACACATTTACACAGTGCGTATTATCGCACGATAGCAAATTCTTTATATATATATACATGTATATATTTATGTACATATAAATATATAACTAAAACTGTTTGTTGAACCACAATTGAGAATCGCGACCTCAACTCAGGTCAGCACAGCTAGGCATCGTTGCATATGAGTTCAGATGTATTTCAAGGAGAGTTTAAGTAAATGTGGACAGCTTTTCTGACAAAGGCTGGACACTTCATTCTGAATTCGTTCTTGGTTTTTTCGTCAGGGAGATCTGGAGCGAGTGACTCAGAACCAAGTAGAGCACACATGCGGGGCCATATTCTAGCAGAACATTGTCCAAAAAGTTACTTTTCAGGGTACTGGTTGAATAACATGGCACGCATGTATGACTGGTAATATCACGGATGTCTATATTACAGTGTCTACATCTTTGAGGTCGATGCACAGGAACACAAGCCAGGACACTACAGAGATGGTAAACGAGTCTTACATGTGTCATACAGGTACATGCGTTCCACATCACGTAAGGGCGGTACACCGAGTGAATACGGCTGAATCTACGAAAGTCATTGTCGTTTCCTTGCCTTGTCTTTAAAGAAGTGTTTTCAAATCGACTTAGGCTTTGGTGATGATTCGTTTGCATTCCATTTTCCCAGGGAATATAAACTCCCGCTGATATTTATCGAGGAGTGCCCTTAGGTTGTATTTGGCTAGTATTGCAACTATGTCAGGAATAAACCCGCGTTGTTGGGTTGCATTTCCGACTTCACTTTCGTATGTGAAATTATATAGCCGGTGTAAGAATATTCTTTTCACGAGGAACTTACAGTCTAAGCGGATAATTTATTACAAGAATATTAGTTTCCGTTAGTCGATCGTGGCACCTATTCGTTGAACACCCAAAAGACATTCTGCGATGTCTGATCGCGTCACTTTCCGTAGGTTTAAAATAAGTTTGACACAGTAATGTTGGAAAGTACTAAGAGTCCGACTGTCGATGTGATTAAGTTGGATCCAGGTTTCGCAGCCCTGGAGCATAGACGTAATTACTACTTTCTTGTAGAGGTTTACCTTCACGAGAGCGTTAACTGAGGTCGAGCTAGCGTTAATACCAAGAACGGCGTGAATAACTTTTCTACCCTTTTCACACCCGTTGACCCCCCTCTGGGTGTGATTCATCCTGTTAGAAACAAAAACGCCAAGTTGGACCTGGGAGACAATGTCGTTTGTATTGGGCTAGTTCCTAGTTGCCAACAGAAGAAAGGTTCCCTCGGAATGAACCTGTCAATCACGATCACGTTGCTGGAAGGCTAAGAGATGCGACATCGGGGGTTTGACTGTCAGAAAGGATATTTTTGCAGCCATGCAGCGCTCACATTGTTTTATCCATTTATGGACGTCAGTCTCCAATCCAGACCAAACACAACGTTTTCTCACTATAGGAAGCGTACGTTTTATACCCTGGTGCCCCAAAACTGTAAGGATTATAACATTTGCTGTATCATTGACTCAGGTGTTACAAACAGGTCATTTGTCCTACTTCTGGGTCCTAAACCTTACACCATTAAATGTCATTTTCCTCGGTAAATTAGTCCCATTTCTTAAAAATTTTCTTAGCGATTTTTGGTTCTTGCCGTAATTGCCGTTCTTTGGGTTTGTTCCCCGTTTTCCATCATTTCCAAACGATTCGAATATTTTCATC